GGAAATTACGGTAAAAACTCTTCTATATGTTTGGTTTTGTGTTACTGTGACATCAAACTACATATTGTTCAGAAAGCACCTCTAGTTGACATCTGTACTGTCAGTTTTCTGTTGTTGTTTGCTCAAAGATGAGACTTTTCATAACAGCTTTGTACTTTTTTTCATACTTCATCTCACTTTAAATCAGAGACTGTTGGATCCACATGTACGATATTACTGAATCAGTGACACGATGAGAAATAACTGTGAAAATTTCAGGCTTTTATCTTTAATAGATCCTGACCTCATCGTTTAAACCGAGTCAAATTTTTAACGTGCGAAAAAATGTGCAGAAAGTGAGTCAAGCGTAAAAGTATTTAGCCAAAGTTTCACAGATACTGTTTTAAAGTTCAAATCGTTTTTGCTAATAAGAAACAAGTTTTAAGCAAATCTTGATGATTTGAGATGGAATAAACCTGTGTGCATTCGGGTCGAGTCGGGTCCATCGTGCTTCATGTATTTCCACATTTTACGCCTCAGAACAGCCATGATGATGTGCTGTGGGTTCATGATAGGTTCAAGGCCAGGGGGTGTTGCTCTACTGGCAGTAGAGGACAGTGGGACAGCTCAGCAAAAGTCAAGCTTATTGTTAGCAATCTGTAACGTTTTCTTTCGTTTGGTGCTGGTGGGTAGTGCACAGTGGGTTTATAGAGCTTGAAACCTGCTGTCTGCTGAGGTTTTATGAGACTGAAACATACAGTAAACGTACTGTAAAACCAAACGGTTAGCATAAAGAGGCTAAACGGCTCCAGAAAGCAGCACAGATGGTGGTAATTATATGTGATGTTGCCACATGAAGACTTTGACATACAGAACCCCTTCCAATGAAAATCATTTTTTTTACCTCGTTAACATGTCCATGTGGGTGTTTTAATGCTGGAAGTCAAATCACGGGTGAAATCAGTTTGTCAACAACCACGGCTGAGCATTTCCACTCTGAAGCTGCAGTGTACCGACGAGAATGTGAAAAACACAACGGAACCAATCCTGTCAACTTCTCGTATCATTATTCCTGTTTGGAATCGGTTTTAAGCATGGATCACTCCGATGTTCAAGGTTGATTTTGTTTAGCATGGAGCTGTTTTACAGTGTTTGAGAAGAGCCGGTGAGCTGGTGTGCTCGAGCGGTGGAGGAGTGAGCAGGGGCTTCATAGATCTGCATAATGTGGAGAAAGCAAAGAGTTACATCCGATTGACATTTTAAAGGTAAAACTTTTAAATATGTAAGTTTGACATACAGAGAGGAGTTGTTAGGAGCCTGAGAGGGAGTTTAAACATGTAGAAGCAGAAATAGGGAATCCTGCTGGTCAAATGAACTCCAACATGGCTGCTTCAGTTCTGGTTGGGAACCTGTTGTGGACGCTGCTTCCCCCCTGCACCACTATCACTATAAGAGTAAGACTGTGGGAAAGGCTTCCATTAAAAAAACGCCACTAAGTCAGTATAAGAAGGCAAGAAGGGAGGATAGAAAGTCGGCAACAGAACTTTTTACGCAGGAGACCAAAGGTCGTGACCCTTGTGGGATCATTATTCTTCGCCTTAGGTTTCGTTTTCACTTGTTTGGTTTGGTTTCGGCACCAAAATGTCTTCATTATTAAAATACGTCTGTTTTACTACATTTGAAGCTTCTCTTCTATTATCTACCAAAGGTCCCAAATCCCACCTGTTCTAATATATGACTGGTTGGCTGAAAAGGAACAATGGTGAATTGATCAAATAAACAGCAAACATGTAGATTCAAGATGAATTTGTGATGCGTCACAAACAAACATGATCCTGGAGCAAATATTTCCTTTAAGAAAGTCGTTGAGAACGAAGTTTCGTTGAACAGGAAGGTCACTTTTGTTAGACAGCCGAGAGTTATGTGTAAAACAAGTGAATATAAATACATAAAATTTGACATACATTGTGTGAGACGCTTTTAGTTGGACACAAAAGTAACTTTGATATGCAGAGATGAGTTTTTAGAAGTTTAGTCAGTGACCCGAGAGGACGTTTAAACATGGAAAAGTAAAAATGGGGAATCCTGCTGGCCAAAGAAATTGCGATAAAGCAACTTCCTAAATTCACAACAAGAGCTCTTGAATCCACAGCTTGTCTGCTTTAGTCACCGGCGAGACTTTCTTTTAGAAGATCAGAGTTTATGACCCATGAAGGATCAGTATTTTTAGACATATGTTTTATGTTTAGTAAAATGTCACGGTTTGGGTTCAAATAGGGCAACATGGTTGAAGCTTCTCTACCATTTCATGGGTTACCAGGGTGACAAATCCTGCCTCATTTAATATAAGACTGGTTGGTTGAAGAGGAGCAATTTATAAGATAGATGGAAAACACATGTAGATTTGGGGAATAAGTTGCATAAAAACCTGCAGAAAATAATTGAGAACACAGTTTTGTTGTACGAAAACTTTATTTTTGCGAGACCAAGCTGAGAATTACATTTAAAAAGTCATTTAATAAGTGCATCGACTCTTTCCCTGCTGCCTTGCTCAACAGCACTCCGGTATTGTTTTCTGTTCGCCGGGCCGCCGGGATTAAAATAGCAGCACCCTTAATGACTGCACTGTTTTTCTGCAGAGACCCAGACTCGCAGAGGTTTCCTGGGCTCCCGAGTTGAAAGATAATTGGCTGATAGAAACGCGGCTGTTTCCTAATTCGCGTGGCCTTTGGCTCGCTGTGTGCCGGACCGGCTTTTTGTAAATGAACTGCTGTTGCCTCATTAGAGTCTGGTGTGTTTTATCACCCAGTAAACTGTTGAGACAAACAACAGAGTGGGCTGTTATTTTTCATCTGCTAAAACTAAGTGCCTCGCTCCTCTAGGGTTTAATTATACTGTGTTGAACTGAATTAGAATTAATGAAACACTTTGTAATACTTTGGGACAGAAGTGGCTGCACATCCAATTGTCCTACTTTTACCGCCGCAGATTTATCATGTGTGCGCTGTAGGCTGCTGAGTACGACTTTTACATCCTTTAAAGTCAGATTCTTACTTTACAATATGGCTATGAAAAATAGTTTCCTAGGACAAAACTGGGGATTGACCGATATGGGTTTTCTGGGTGCCAATTATTGGTAATCGAGAAAGGCCAAGAACCGATGTTTGGAACCGATATACAATAAATATGTTTTTACAGCGTGTGATAGCAGAGAATTCATAACTAGGCTTCTTCATTAATAAGGGTGACTGAATATGTAAAACAGAAAATGGGTGATTAAATTAGGATGTGCTAATGCGGTTATGTGGGGTCGACTTGAGATTGTTTTCTGCCGTTACGTCTGTTGTATTTCTCTATTTTCTTAATCTTTCACACTTTTGTTGCCCACTAAGGTCCAAATCTGAAAGCATTGTTATTTATTGTTTTCCAGAGCCGCTAGCTGTTAGCATAGCTTTATCCGCAGTGAGAGGAGCTCATTTCCTGGTTCTTGTTCAGTTTTTGCTGTTTCTGCTTGAGAAACATCTCTGAGACCACAGAGGCTGCATCACCTCCGAAGTAGTGCATTTATCACTGATCGATCAATATATACAAATACCGATAATCGAAAAAATGACAGATATCGGCCATGATAGTCGTCTTATCTTTGTAGAGAGATGTCTGATTTTAATGTTGTGACTTCTTTTTGTCATTTTGTGTTGTTTTGTGTCTAATTTTTTTTTATGTTGCGGCTTGTTTTTGTCCTTTTCTGTCTCGTTTAGGTTGGTTTTGGCTTGTTTTTTGTTGTTTTAGGTCTCGTTTTTGCATCTTTTTAGTCTGTTTTTTTATGTTGCGTCTTGTTTTTGTCCCTTTGTGTCTCATTTGTGTTGTTTTTGGCGGATAAAAACAATTATCTCGAAGCAAAACTGTTACCAACTGTAGATTATTGAGCTCTGTTGCTAAAATTCTCATTGCTTTCCGTTCTTTGTGTCTTCGCTTCAGAGGGATTCATGTGTAAGACTTCCGCCATCTCCGACATCGTGATCCTGGTGGACGGCTCCTGGAGTATCGGCCGCATCAACTTCAGGCTGGTGAGGACGTTCCTGGAAAACCTGGTCCGAGCCTTCAACGTGGAGTTCGACAAGACCAGGATCGGTGAGGAGGACGTCCGACACCCCTCAGATTCTAACGAAGTCAAATTCGTCGTCCAAGCGCCGTCTTTGTAACCCGTCATTTGAAATGCTCGTTTTGTGCGTGCAGGCCTGGCTCAATACAGCGGAGACCCCCGCATCGAGTGGCACCTGAACGCTCACACCACCAAGGAGGCTGTGATCGATGCGGTGAAAAACCTGCCGTACAAAGGAGGAAACACTCTGACAGGTACGAAGCCCCAGCCTCCCTCTGGTTATTACAGTCATCACGGTTAACGGATAGCGCTCAGAGGTGGAAGCTGGACCTCCGCCAGGCTTCTAGCTCATTACCTTATTAAATCCACTTCAGTGCAGTTCATTTCAGGTTAACGTCTTAACCCCTCTGAACCCTGAGCAGTTTTGTGGGCATTTTATCTCACTTTGGACTCATTTTTTTTTACTGCAATATGAATATCTCAGAGTAGAGAGAAGTCAGAAATACTTAAATCATAAAAAATAAAATTATAAAACCTGCAATTAACAACGTTGTTCCAAGTGCCCACAAATGTTGGCCATACTGTAAAAAGAAATGGTGGCTCTTTAGGATATAGAAGTTTTACTGCTTTACAAACACTGCCATATTTTCATCATGTGATTTTGTTGAAAATTAAAATAATCATATTTTAAGCTTAGATTTGCTTATTTTTCCCAGACAAAACCTAAAAGCCATCCATAAATTCAAGGAGAGTGGAACGTAGAATCTGATTCCTGTTTATATAGTTTTTAGCTCTCAATAATTGGTGTGATGTTGGCATTTAAAAAACAAAAACAAAATACAATTCCTGAGCTTCCAGTGGGTTTTGGAGTTCAGAGGGTTGAGGGTGATCAATGTGTGGTTGTAAAATGTGTATCTGTGGAGATGAAAAGTTGTAGGACTGTTAAACCTTGTTGTTCGATCAGGCAGTCGGATGATAAAGATGACCTCAGACATGTTGTTTGGAAATGTAAACCAGCTTAAGCTTTGCTAGCGAGCCACAAGTGAATGCTCAGATGTGGTTTAATAAGATGTCTGAGCTCAGCTTGTCATCTCAAGTCACATTTGATCATTTTTATTTTGAACATTGCAGAAACAGAAACAACAACTGGTGGCTATAAGTGTATAAACTGTGCAGGTTTCTCCTCCTCTTACAATCTGAACTGGTTACCAGCAGGCGGTTAGTGGGATTTGCTTTACACACAGTCAGCTTCTGGTGAAAAATCGTACAAAATGTTTCGAAGAGAAACAAAACAATCTGTCGTCATCGTCAAACCCTTGATCTCGCGCGCTGCTCAGAAAGCTGAAGCCGAAGGATCCAGCAGGGTTTCAAACGGTCCGTCAGGAGCTGAGGAAAATATCCGTAATATCATTAATAGACCCAGCAGAACTCAGCTGCTCATTATGTTGACAATCTCATTAGACAAAAACCTCGTCGAGCTAATAATGACACTTTACACTCATCACGTTCGAGTCTTTGGTTATGACGCTCGAGGCGGCTCAGAGGCATTTATCTGTCCTCAGAGGGAGACTGCCAGCGCAATCAAACTGTCAGCCAGGATTTAACTTCATATCACAATAATTCTTTAAAAAGTCCTACACTGTAAGTGGCTCTAATTTCCTGTCATTTTAACTGGAGATATCAACAAAAGAAGTCTGTAGTACATCAAAACAAGGAAAAGGCACAAAAAAAGAAGTGTTTTTTTTCCCACGCTGCTGGTTTGATAAAGCGTACTGCATGTGCCATTATGTTTTGCAGCACAAACCTCTAAATCTGCTGCATTTAGGGGTCTGATATCTGAAGTTTCAATTCAAAGTCTTTATTAACTTTATTCCAAAACTGTGGTTTTACCTTGAGCTGCACGCAGATGAAATGCCACCATAAACTCAGAACCCACCAAAGGCAACATGAACTATAATAATAAACTCATAAAGCACCTTTCAAAAATTAGGTTCACAGAGTAGTTTGTGGGGTAAAAACAGAACAGTAGCACCATCAATAAAACAATACACAGATTAAGAAATAACCATAAAACACAGTGATAAAAGTAAGACACGATCACTAGAAGGCTGCACAGTAAAATTAAGCTTCTAAACTTCTTCTGTCGTGTTTATACTCACTGTTGGCTTATTTTTTTTTGTACAATATAAAGTCCTACACCTCTATGGAAACAACACAACCATGGCTAGAAGTAGAAGGAACTGGAAAATGTCTTCTGTGCAGTATGACCCAGTTATAACACCATAAATCACATAAAAGATAGAATTACATTTGGATTTCTTACTTTATTTATTTAATAAAAATTCAAAAAACCTGAAATTAGCATTTATTTCAAGTGCCCAAAGGTGTTAGTAATAGTGGAAAAAACAAAAAAGCCATAGTGACTCTACATGTGATACAAATTCAACTACTAATATTTTAAATTTGCTTCCATACTCGTCTCCTTGCGTTAGTTTAAACGCTGCCTGCAGTTGGGCCGAAAAATCCATAAATTATTATCACATGACTGTTGGTCACAGTAATTTTAATGATTTTCAGTTGAGGTTTTCCAACATAATGGTACGTCACAGAGGAAAAGCCTTCAATTTATTCTATTTTTTACAGTTTCTGGAAGATAAATTATGTAATTCTGGTGATTCTTTTTAGGTTTATTTTTAAAGCTAACCTGCTTTTTATACTCCTGCTGTCATTTTTGAGGTTCGGTGGGTTGTTTTAAAGCTTTAATCCTTTCGACAGCACAGCACGCTATACCAGGCCGGCATTACGACTCCCGTTCAACACACAGACCGCTATATGGCGACTTTCTGTTACATCCCCGTATGTGAACAAGCGATTCAGTCATGAAAAAAATTATGCAAATGAAGTAAAATGACTCCAAAAATCACAAGAAAACAGGATTTTCACTACCTTGTTTCCAAAATGTTTGTAACCCATCAAAACTAACTAATAACAAGAGTTTGGCAGATGTCTCAGTATATAAGAACTGATCATTAATTGCATATATACCTGGTAGTTATGAAGTTTACCTTTTTCTTTTCTTTTCCACACCTGTATGTATATGACAGGAGTAAACTTCCACATATATTTAACCGTCAACTTGTCTACTTTTGATTGATTCCAGATATGTAACGATGTGACGTCCTCTTAAGAATTTATTAGTGATTAATCAAAACCATGTCTGATCATGAATTTCAAGCAAACTTACTTCGTGTTGAAGTGTGCAAGGAATACACATTTACTTAGTGTTGAAAGAGTTAAAGACAACAGTAGTCTTTAGCTGATCTGCATCGTGCCTTTCTGTGTCCAGGTCTGGCTCTGACCTTCATCTTGGAGAACAGCTTCAAGCCAGAGTCTGGATCCCGACCCGGCGTTCCCAAAATCGGAATCCTCATCACAGACGGGAAGTCCCAGGACGATGTGATACCTCCTGCGCAGAGCCTGAAGGATGCTGGGATAGAACTGTTCGCCATCGGTATGAGCCAACAACACTGACGATCCTGTAGAAAAGACGCACAGAGCAGATGAGAGTCAGTGACATTAAAAAAAGAACGTTGATGTTTAGAGAATGTTTCAGGAAAAACCTAAAAGACTTCTTTCATGCAGCAACAGCCAAACTGATGTATTTATCTGATTTATTTAGACCTTCTGTCTTTATAGATTGATGCTAAAAAAAACAAAAAAGAAGAAAAACCTCGATAGGATTAGCATATTTCTTCTGACGGCTCTGCTGAGCTTCTGAGGCTGAACATCGATTACTGTAAAAATATCGTTTTCTTGTCTTCTGTTTCCTCATAATCACAGGGCAATTTTAAACCTTTCAGAACGCCGTCTCCTCGGTTGTGTAACAGCAGAGCCGAAACGGCGGGTTTATTAATCAGTTGACAGAAAATAGAAAGCAAACAATTTTGGTAATAGGTTAATCATTTCACTCCCTCATCAGGAAAGAATATCAAACAGCTTCTCAGACTTGCAGCTGCATTTCCTCATTATAAACTGAATGCAGTTTGGGTTTTGGATAGTTAAAAAAAAAAAAAAAAAAGGCAGTTTCGGTGCAAGAATCACTGAAAGGAGACATTTGTGTTAATGAGAGCCTAATTAATAATGCTAATTATTATTTAGAACCTTTAAAAAAAACTGAGCAAATGTTTGATATGATGAATTGCACGTCTCTTCTCTTGCCTGCAATGAAAACAAATGTACACCTGGAAGGAAGGAAATCTCTGTAAAACTGTGTCATGCTTTGGGTAAAAGTCAGCAATCATGCAAAACACTTATTTTGGAGTTAATTGGCTGAAGCATAAAGGCACAGCTATGTGTTTTTTCAGCTTAGCAACCTTCAGTAGAGCTTTAGTTTGCAGTATTCAGCAATATCCACCGTCAGGAGCAGCAATGTGAGAATAAAGCACGAATGAGATGTTCAATAGGCACATTTCAGAGTTTAACAAAGTCTTTGGGCCTGAAATATTTTCTGGGCATTGTCTGCTTCCGTGACATTTTTCTAGAGAGAACATTTTCTTTGTGCAGAAAAGCAAACTTATCAGGCCAGAAATCACAAAGAAGGACAAACAAAAGTTGTATTTCGTGGAGTCTTTATTTTATAAAACATACAAACCCCATGTTTTTTGGCTCTGCGTTACCAATGCTGTAAAAAAACAAAAAAAAAAACAAGCTCTTGTTTGATATGCATTATTTATTTCTCTTTCTATTTGATCAGATCAAACACCAAAGAGAATAAAAAATAAAATATATAAGGAAAAAAAAAACACAAATAAATAAATAATAATAATAATAATAATAGTCTGTCTCTAAGTGTGGCTCTGCAATGGACTGGTGACCTGTCCAGGGTGTCCCCTGCCTTCACCCTGAGTCGGCTGGGATAGACTCCAGCGCCCCCGCGACCCTAATGAGGATTAAGCGGTGTATAGAAAAATGGATGGTAATATAACCCAAAATGCCAGTACTTAAGAGGTTAAAGTAGAAATATAGAATAAAGTAGCTGACTTCATGACATTAAGCTCAGATTTGGTTAGGTTTCTTGACTGGACGACACAACACGAAGGAGGGATTCAAGGACCATCAGAAAGCTTGAAATCCACCAATTCCTTTTGTTTTTACAGATTCTGGCTCTGATAAATGAGCCATTTAAAAACATACCTTTCAACCCTTCCAGCTGGTTTTGGGCTTCCGAGGGTTAAATATTTCATACGTTCATCAGTTTATTGCATGTCAGAAACCTATTCCCCACACCTTTATGTTTGTATTCTCCTCCTGTCAGTCCGATAACTCAGCTCGCTTTTTCTCTCTGTTTCTGTCCTTCCAGGTGTGAAAAACGCTGATGAGAATGAGCTGAAGGCCATCGCCTCTCCTCCGGAGGAAACCCACGTCTACAACGTGGCAGACTTCAGCGTGATGAGCGACATCGTGGAAGGACTCACCAAAACCGTGTGCGACCGCGTGGATCAGCTCGACAAGCAGATCAAAGGTCCGAACAGCAGCCGAGCCGTTCGACAAGCCGATGCTGCAGAGACGCTGCACGAGATCCCCGAGCAATAAAAACTCAGTCCCCAACTAATATAAAGCAGCAACGCTATCTAAGTAATGACGTGTCTAAAAGTTTGCACGGAGACAGATGTTGCATAATGACTTTCCAGTTTATCATTTGCACATACAGTGGGATGCTTTCAGGTGTTGGAGGCTGGTGTGAGTTGTGTTTACCAGCCCTTTGCTTCTGTAGTGTCTATTTGAAAGCAACCTGTGCTGTATGGGCTTCATCCTCTGCAGGTAACGGAGAACCCGCCCCACCGCCGACCTCCGTGGCTCCACCTCGTGACCTCGTGACATCCGCGATAACGGCTCGCAGTTTCCGGGTGTCGTGGACTCACGCTCCGGGCCAGGTGGAGAAATACCGAGTGGTCTACTACCCCGCCAGCGGAGGACAGCCAGAGGAAAAGGTATCCGGATTGTTTGTCGGTTCAACCTCTAAATGCATGTCTGAAAATAACTTTGGTGTCTTTTCTGCCTTACACGGTCACTGCAGTCTGTGTCTGTTCTGTGCGCTGACCCTCATACAGCACACAACAGAGTGCAAATTATTCAGTTCTTTTCCAATACTGTGCGATGTTCTGCCATGCTTCAGGGGTTGTGTTGCTCTGAGGTTCTCTTTAAAATACCCCAGATTGTTCTATTGGTTTTAAGTCATAGCTTTAACTTTGCTCCTCTTTCGAAAGTCTTGTGCAATTTTGGCAGTGTGCTTTGGATCAGTGTGGAATACTTCTGTCCAGCTGCTGCAGACTGGAAGTCATCTTGTTAGCCAGTATTTTGGTAAATCTGGAGACATTCAAATCAAATCAAATCAAATCAAGTTTATTGTCATTTGCTGTACATACACAGTAGTACAGGCAAGATGAAAGAGGGTTTCTTCAGGATCCAATAACTTAAAGCAATTTAGATAAAGAGGTGTTTGCATATCTGGATCAGCAGTTCAGTGTTCTGACAGCTTGTGGAATGAAACTGGTGATCATTCTGGAGGTTCTTCCTTTAATGCTACGGAAACATTTGCCTGATGGTAGCAGTTCAAACAGTTTGTGGAGAAGGTGTGAGGAGTCCCTGACAATGTTCAGTGCGGTTCTGGAAAAGTTCTTGGACAGAGGTGAGGGTAACTCTGATGATCGTCTCAGCTCCTCTAACTATCCTCTGCAGGGCTTTTCTGTCAGACATACTGCAGCTGGAGGACCATGTTGAGATGCAGGATGTCAGAACGCTCTCCACCACACCGCTGTAGAAAGTCCTGAGGATGCTGGCAGGGAGAGAGGCTTGTTTCAGCTTCCTCAGGAAATGTAGTCTCTGCTGGGACCGTTTGATGATCGCTGCAGTGTTCTTATTCCAGCTCAGGTCCTGCGAGATCTGCACTCCGAGGAACTTGATGTTCTCCACTCTCTCCACTGTGCAGCAGCTGATATTGCCATGGGTGCCATGCCTTCATGGTGTCATCTGTACATGTCATCTCTACGACACCTTTTGCATCTCCATACTCCCTCCTCCGTGCTTCACTGTTGGGACTATTCTTACAGTGTGGTAGTCCTGCTCAGGTTCACAACGAACTCATATGACCAAAAGTGCTTTCAACATTCACCAGGCTTCTTTTATTGTTTTGTAGCAAAGTTTACTCTTAAAGATTTGTCACGAAAAGAAAGCAAGTTTTTTTTTTTTTCTTGCACCTTGTCCATAAAGGCCGATGTTATCAACTGTCCTTCACACTGTCTGAGCTCCACATACAAGGTGTGTCAGAAACATTTCAGGACTGGTGTCACAAAAGATGTATTTCAAATCCAAACTACAAGTTTTCCCCTTCAAAGTAATCCCCCTGGAGTCTAACACACTTCCCCAGCCTTCTCTGCCACGCTGCCATGCACTCCTGGAAGGATTCTTCCAGGATCCTCCGCAGCTCCGTCGTCACAGCCATCTTGATGTCATCCATGTCTTCAAAATGGGTCCCCTTGATGACCCCCTTGAGCTTTAGGAAGAGGAAAAAGTCCCACGGAGCCAGGTGGGGTGAGTAGGGAAGTTGCTCCAGCACGGCGATGTTCTTCTCAGCCAGAAACTGTTGGATGCTCAGGGCATTGTGAGCAGGCGCGTTGTCATGGTGAAGCAGCCACGACTTGTCCTGACACAACATCTCGCCTCTTCTCACGCACTGAACGAAGAGAATGCTGCAGGTTCTCTTTGTGGACGTGCTGGTTGATCATCTGAAGGGGAAAACTGATAGTCTGTAGTTTGGGTTTGAAATATATCTTTTGTGACACCAGTCCTGGAACTTTTCTGGCACACCTCATATGTACTGTGATTTCCACTGATGACCACTGTGCTAAACCTGAAGCGCCTGCGTGTCTGTTTTTCAGAGCTAGATTGTAAAAGTAGCGTACTGTCCGCGGTGACATTTTAGGAGCCCTGATTAGTGGCACTATGGCTCGGTCTGTGCCTACTAGTTACTGCTGCAGCTGTATTTCTTCAAATTTTTAGTTGGTCACTGATCTTCCTGTATCCTTTTCCGTCTTTGAAATCTCATAATCGGATTTTCAAATTCTTCCGTCGGTTCTTTGCCATGTGGAGCCCTGATGCGGACATGCAGATAGACTCGGTTCCCAAACTGAGAAAGGCCATTTTATAACCATGATGCAGTGAATGGAAATCACAGGTGTACTCACTTTTGTTGAGTTTCTCCTTTGATGTTTGCATTTTCAATATATCCATCCATCCATCCATTTTCTATACACCGCTTAATCCTCATTAGGGTCATGGGGGGGCTGGAGCCTATCCCAGCCGACTTAGGGTGAAGGCAGGGGACACCCTGGACAGGTCACCAGTCTATCACAGGGCTACACTTAGAGACAGACAACCAAGCACACTCACATTCACACCTACAGACAATTTAGAATCACCAATTAACCTCAACATGTTTTTGGACTGTGTGGGAGGAAGCCAGAGAACCCGGAGAGAACCCACGCTGCACGGGGAGAACAGAAAGATTCCGGTGCCCCCACCGGGACGCGAACCGGCAACCTTCTTGCTGCGAGGCAACAGTGCTACCAACTGCGCCACCCTGCAGCCCTATTTTCAATATAATCCTTGTTTTTGATTTGAGCAAATACTATACGGTTCAACTTGGCAAAAGTTCAGTGATTGAGATGTGATTCAGTTTTGAATCATTTGATATTGAAGTGCTATTGCAGAGGGTTGTATTCACTCCCTTTGTGTACTGTACTTCTGCTGTTAACAGGACTTCTAAAGCTTGTTTTATAGTTTCCCTGCTTCAATGAACAGTACTGCTGCTGCTGTGGACCCACAGTTTATACAGGATACCAAGCTTTTTTTTTTTTTTTGAAGTTGCCTAACAAAATGCAAATTAATTCCATTTTACTGATTATTAGGTACCTCGTCTGGTTCTCTGGCTTTTTATCAGTAACCAAAGGGGGTTTCCTTTTGTCGCTGTAATTGGTGGAACTTTGCTCCTGATTTCCCTGAACGGGGCAAACAGAATGCTGACTTACTGATGTAATGGCAGCATTTTAATTAAGGCTGCTCCTGCTAATCCTTTTAGGGTCACTTCCACACGTTCATTTCTCGGAGTGATCTGCATGATAAATGGCAACAGTTCTGCACAATTTGCACTTATGGAATCTTAAAACCAAGCGCGCCCTCACGCCGTGGTAAACCGTCATCTTCTTGCTTAATTTAACAGCCATTAGTTGTGGCACTATAAAAAAACGGCGGAGACACCTAACGCATAAGCGCACAATGAGAAAACAAATGAGGCTATAAACTTGTAATTTGCATTTGTTGCAGAGTTGATTTGTCCTTTAAGTGGGTGTCCTCAGCTGTGTCCTCACTCAGCACTGAGCATCTCCATTATGATTTCCTGCCTGTTGTAGGTGTTTTCCCCGGTGACACAAGTGCAAAACATTTGATAACCAGTGTGGCAAATTGATTTCTGGAAGTTTCCCTACCTGTGTAACCACACAGACATGCAGTGCTGTAATTTTTTCGAAGTTTATATTTATGTTTATGCTCTTCCCTCTTATTTTTATCCAGTTTCTCTTTGATGTTTATTACAACTTGCAGCTGGAACGGCTGCAGTTTCCCCACAAGGAAAACTGAGGTTTCATCAAAGCTAATCTGATCTAGTTACACTCAATTTAAATCTCTTTGGTGAGGAGCTGAATGCCTACAGCAACACGTGGAGCCATTTCAACCTTGTGATATGCGGTCGCCTAATAAACAGTGGCTTTTTTTTTTTTTGTATATTCTAATACTTTTTGACATACAAAGTGGTGCTGTCTGTTTCAAACAGCACAAAACCGGAGCTAATTACGCTAATTTTAAAATAATAGCCACATCAGACATTAAGGTATCAGAGGACGCAGCTGAAATCACTTACGAACGTGACAAACAAATGGCCGGTGTTGGCTGTGTCATTGAAATGTTCGAGTGTAAAGCACTTCTGTAACATCCAGGCTAAGACGCAGTGCAATCTGTCTTGAAGGTGGTCCAGGGGACGGAGAACAGCGTGGACCTCAACTACCTGAACTCTCTGACGGAGTACCAGGTTGCTGTTTTCGCCATCTACCGCAGCTCCGCCAGCGAAGGCCTGAGAGGGAGCGCCACCACATGTAAGTCTAAATCTTCGCAATGTCTTTAACGAATGAAGAAGGAATTGTTAAATGGAATGCCGGTAGAGCTGCGAGTAGCTATCTGAAAAATTAAATTATGAGAACAGATGTTTTTCATCAGTATGAAGGCATAATTTTTGACATCAGGCACTGCAGTCGGCACTGTAGTTTTAGCTTGATGCCTGTTATGTTCCAGCCTCTAGGGTCAGCTGGATGTAACAAAAAAACTGTTGTGGTGGAGCAATTTGTAGCCCAGTAATGTAAATGAATACAAAAAACCCCTGTGATAATACAAAGAAAACGAGTGGATGTTGGTAAAATCAATGAACCAAATATAACCAAACTTTAATCCAACACCTAACAAAAGAAACTCAAACAACAAGTGCCTCAAACCACACATAACGAAAAAATGCGACACGCAGGGTAACTTCTGAACTGAGTTGGAGGCACCAGGGTGAACTGTTCAAATCCCAGCCACCCCGACTGAGAGTTTAGTTGAGGTTTTATTAGCCAGGATTGGTGATTGCTGGGGTCTTGGAGGAGGGCCCTGGGTGGTGGACCAATCAAGGGTGATGGGAGGGCTGAGAGCAGGTCTGAGACTCCGGGGCATTCATCCCCGATGCTTGCCAGGTGGGATCTGGAGCACGGTCTTCAGCCAGCTGTAATCAGCCTTAGTCTTCACAAGCTGTCTCCCCACACAGAGGCAGCACAACGTCCACCACAGGAGCAAGAGGCCCAAACACCGTAACAATGTCAAATTATTAAATATTTAATATCTACCCATACTCAATACATTTTCCAAGATAATAGACTCGAGAACTGTTGTAGATTAGCTGTAGTATCCATCAGGTGAGGCCTCTTGCTGATCAATAGTGTAGTAACCAGAGGAGGTGGGCATTGTGGGGCATTTTCAGTTTCGCAGCAGAAGTGTGACTGGAGGAGAAAGGAGTCGAGGCAATGGGCACTGAACAAAATCAGGCACCTTTGCTTCGGAGCTGTTGTTTTAAAGCAACGTCATTTAAATATGATGTGTGGCACAGCTGTATCTGCTGTTTGTGACACAACTGTACAGATGTTAGACAGGTTTTATGTATCTACTGTAGAGTACAAAAGAGGTGTTGCACAAATAACAACTGACACATATTATGAGTGAATGATATGTGTAATAGACACACATAAACACAGATTTGTCAGTTGTGCTCCCGACATAGTTCCAGCTGTTGTGCCTCTTTTGTTTGCCGAAAAGACTTCATCGAGGATGCATCGAGGTCTCTCTCTTCGACATGCATTTTAGAAACTGGGACATCCTTCTCGATGGCACTCTAAGATTGATTTCCGGGGCCATGCAGGAGGACAGGGGAGATGAGGAGGCTCTGAATGGTGAATTGAGATGAGTCTGTGCAGTTTTGTCTCCCCATGTACACCTCTAGTTTGTGTAATTAGTTTTTGAACCCTTATGTGTCACTTTGCTTCCTGCTTCAGTTTGTTCTACTAGTTTTTGTTGTTTTTGTTGTTTTTTGCTAACCTTTGCCAGCTCCCTGTATTTTTGAATTGGACTTTAAGAACTTTTCTACCAGTTTCAGATATTAAAGCTTTTTTTTTTTTTCAGGTTCAAGCAGATTTAAACTTTCAGGACTTGTCTGTACAATTTGGTTCAGGCTCCACGCTGTAGTTGAACTGACATGAGCCCAGTCTTAATATTTATTTGCCACTTTGGTTGCATTTTGCAGCACAGTTGAGTTTAAACTGTCATGTCAGTAGTTTTACTAATTCATGTCATCCTCCTTGTGTGATGCTTTTTATGGAATCTCATGTAGAAATGGAACCATCAATTGATTTAAATATATTACAGACATTGAACTGAAGCTTTAAAAAACTATAATGCAAATCCAGTCGCAATATTTAGTTGAAAATTTGCAATCAGATGTTTTCCCTAAATTGTTCAGCCCGAGTTGGTGGAAGACCTTTTGGATTCTGTGGGTTGCGAGGTGGGGCCTCCGTGGATCAGGTTTACATCCGGTGTGTCTTCTAAATGCTTAATCAGATTTAGACCTGGGGAGTTTGGAGGCCGGTTCAGCAGCTTGAGCTCTTGGTCGTGTTCTTCAAGCTGAGCAGGGTTTGTGGTGTGAAAGGACACACTTTTCTTTGCAATGTAAAGCAGCAGCAGTCACCCAAAACCTGCAGACAAGTTTGAAGAGCATGCTGTCTTGTAAACACTTTTGAATAGTCCTTGAAGTACTCATCTGTGATGTGCTGTGCAGTCGGGTAACCAAATCTAAGCTTCCAACTGGGATATTTGTGTGAAAAAAAAAAAAAAAAATTACCAAAAGTATAACAAATTCTAAAAACAATCTGCTCTCCATGGATCAAATGTGAAGCAAACACTGACTCATATTGACTCATTTTGAAATTAGGGGAATTTTTGGCTGAACTGCCAGCTATGTTTTACACAGGCAGAAAGGAGGTAAGTATGAAAACAAATTTAAACATGTATTTAGAAAGATGTCTTTCATAACACCCTTAGGGATCTTCTATTTAAAAATAATCAGAAAAAATCAACTATTGTTTTTTTTCTTTATTTGTGGCGTTATAACTGAGCCATACTGCACAAAAGATGTTTTTGAGTTCTCTCTAGTCATTGTTATACTGTTTCCATTGAGGTGCAGGACTCCATATTGCAGTGAAAAATGAGCACACAGTGAATTAAATTGTGACTGGAGCAAAAAAACAAAAACAAAAACACCCAAAAACTGCTTGGAGTTCAGACGGGTAAACGTTTCTTTGGATAAAAAGTCCCTCTATTTTTCTCTGAAGGAGCGAAAGGAATGGAAAGCAGCAGCATATCTGTAGTCTTTACACTGAGTTCAAGAGATGACACTCGTGGCCAGCTCATTACCACTGAGATACAGCATCTGGAATAGAAACACTGATCAGCCGGCAGATATGTGTCATACTACAGCAGAACACGCTGAATCCAGGCCATAAAAGCCACACAGGTGTTCCATTATGCATTCGCGCGCTGCTCCTCCGCCGCTGACAGGACGCCTGTGGTGAGTCCTAATTCTGCTCGTGTTGCCCGAGGCCTCGTCCTGACGTCTGAACCGGAGCCTGGCAGGATTTTCTGGCCTCTTTCAGCCTGACGGATGACAGGGAATTCCTCCCCGTCGGTCCAGGATGAATGCTAAGCCACGAGTCGACCTTGTGGCAAAGTTAATGGTGTTTGGCTGTTGCTCTGAGCTTCCGCCGCTGCTTTCTCTGGACCAGCTGGATAAGGCTGCAGATGAAACCTGATGCTGCAAACGGATTGATTTCGGGCCACGTGTCTGATGGAAAACAGTAAACAGGAGAAGGAAAATTAAGAGAAGTAATAAATGAGGAGTTGGTTTTAACAATACTTTCAAACAGTATTTTGGCCTCTGAAGCCCAGGTGTTTTTCACTCCAGTCACATTTTTACTCACTGTGGGATCAGTTTTTACCACAACATCAAGTCCTGCACCTCTGTGGAAACAGCACAACCATGAATACAAGTAAAGAGAACTCAGAACTACCTTCTGTGCAGCATGATACAGTTAAAATGCCATAAATCCTAAAAAAATAAGAAAAACAAACGTTGACTTTCTTGTTATTCTTACAAAAATCTTGAACAGAGAAGAAGACATTTTGGTGAACGATCTTGGTTCAAAGTTTGGGTTTGGTTCATTTTTCTGAAGGAAGCAGAAGTTACACAATTACTTCAAGGACTGTAGGAAAGCTGGAAATCCATCAGTTCTTTCGATTTTTTCTGTTTTCAGGTGACAACCTGTCTAGCTTTGATGCCTTTTTTGATTTAGATAAAGGTTTTGCAGCTTGATTTAAGTCAGAAACTCTGAAGAGCTGTATGTTAAATGAAAAGTAAATTTCTCCAAAGCTGTGTAAAATAAAGTACACTTACTTCAGTACATTTTGATGCACTTTACTTGACTGTTTCCATTTTCTGCTACTTTATACTTCAACTCCACGACAAATGAGATGCACATGTGTTGGACTTTTACTGGAAATTGCTTTTTTTTTTTTAAAAAATCATTTTAATTGCTTTTCAGGGTTTGCTTAATAATGCAAAATATAACCTACAAATTAATGATGACATAATACTGCAGATTAAGATTAAACTTTGTTGATCCTCAAAGGATAATTTACAAGCAACAGATAAAACTCCCGCCTGTACCAGCTTCAACATTCGTACATCAATAATTATGATGTCTTTCTGAATTATGCCATTCTGCATGATGAGTACTTTTACTTTTGGTACTATAACTACACTTTGATGCAAAAATGTTTGTACTTTTACTTGAGTAAAACTTGAAATGCAAGACTTTGACCTGTAACAGAGTATTTCTGCACTGTGGTATTGGTTCCTATATGTAAGTGCCGTGTCTGAGAACTGCTTTCACCTCTGCAGAGCACATTAAAGACACCAACGGGATGAAATATATCAGACTTAATAAAACTGGACCTTTGCCTGACATTTAGATTTTTATTGAATTCTCCTGAAGTTGTTGTTCAGAACTTCAAAATGTGCCAGTTGACAACTCAAGATCAAATCTTGCACCAACGTGTAGCTCCTGTTGGTTTATTTAGTGCACCTGGGCTTCTTTTGAGGCGCGTTTCAATCGGTTGCACTTCACCACATGTTGATTAATATATAATGAACGTGTTTGAAATAAATCTCACATACAGTTTGTAGTGCGTGAGCTCCTAACAAAGCTCCTTGTGTCCTGCAGTGGCCCTGCCGATGGTCAACGACCTGGAGCTGTTTGATATCACGCACAGCACCATGAGGGTCCGCTGGAAGATCGCCGCCGGGGCTTCTGGGTACATGATCCTGTACGCGCCGCTGACGGAGGGAGACGCTGCAGATGAGAAGGAGGTGAGCAGTGTTTGTGTTGAGAAGCAGAGAAGGAAGTGAGTAAAATCAAACACAGTAAACAGCATTGGAACAGTTTTCCAGCTGTTGCTTTGGAGCAGGGCTGCTGTTTGCTCAACGTTCGTCCAAACGACATGTCCAGTGCATCGCATTTATTTACATCAGAAGGTCAGAATCAGAAGGATAATTTACTGATTTGCTGTTCTACACAGGCCTACTTGCAGCTTCATACCTGATCCAAGTTACAGAATTCGTCCTTTGCTTTATGAAGGGATCCAGTTTTGACCTTCTGAACTACAAAGCAGTTTCTGGGCGTTTTTTTTTTTTGCTCTTGTCACACTGTTGCTCACTGTGGACTCATTTTTCACTGCAACATGAAGTCCTGCACGTCTATGGAAACAACACAACCAAGAGTGGAAGTAGAGAGAACTTATCTTCTGTGCAGTATGATCCAGTTATGATGCCGTAAATCGTAGACAAAGAAAAAATGAAAGCTGAATTTCTTTGATTATTAATTTTTTATTTTTTTCAAAAAAGAAAGAAAAAACTTGGACTCAACCTGTACAACACTGTTCAGCGCTCACAGATGTTACAACACTGGGAAAAAAACAGTAGCGCTGCATATCATAAACATTCAATCACTTAGATTCAGTATTTGATTCCGTACTTGTCTCCTCTCTGCTCCGTGTAAACACAGATTGCAGTTCAGCTGAAAAGTC